ATCACAAAACAATCCACACAGGAGAGAAACCATATAAATGCATGGAGTGTGGGAAAGCCTTTACTCATCGCAATGGACTTAGAAATCACAAAACGATCCACACAGGAGAGAAACCATATAAATGCATGGAGTGTGGAAAGACATTTGCTCTGAGCCATAGACTTACTCTCCACAAAAAGATCCACACAGGGGAAAAGCCATTTAAATGCATGGAGTGTGGTAAGACCTTTGCTCGAAGGTGTAAACTTATTACCCATAAGATGATCCACACAGGCGAAAAGCCATATAAATGCATGGAGTGCGGAAAGAGCTTTGCTCAGAGATGTCATCTTATATCCCATAAGATGATTCACACAGGGGAGAAACCATATAAATGCATGCAGTGTGGGAAAACCTTTACTCATAGCAATGGACTTAGAAACCACAAAATAGTCCACACAGGAGAGAAGCCATATAAATGCATGGAGTGTGGGAAAAACTTTACTCATAGCAGTGGACTCAGAAGACACAAAACAATACACACAGGAGAGAAACCATATAAATGCATGGAGTGTGGAAAGACCTTTGCTCTGAGAAATAGACTTACTCTCCACAAAAAGATCCACACAGGAGAAAAGCCATTTAAATGCATGGAGTGTGGAAAGACCTTTGCTCGAAGATGTAGACTTGTTACCCATAAGATGATCCACACAGGTGAAAAGCCATATAAATGCATGGAGTGTGGAAAGACCTTTACTCAAAAAAGTAGCCTTATTACCCATAAGATGATCCACTCAGAAGATAAACCATTTAAATGCATGGAGTGTGGAAATACCTTTACTCAAAAAAGTAGTCTTATTACGCATAAGATGATCCACTCAGAAGAGAAACCATTTAAATGTATGGAGTGTGGAAAGACGTTTACTAACAGCAATTCTCTTACTTCTCACATCAGAATCCACACAGGAGAAAAGCCATATAAATGCATGGAATGTGGAAAGACCTTTGCTCAGAATGGTCATCTATCTTGTCATAAAAGGTTCCATGCTCAGGATAAAATATATAGTAATAACAATTCCACTTTAGACTTATATTCCACTCCACAAAGCTTTATAGCAGTCTTTGAGCAGTTTACAAAGTCAGCATATTGTCCGCAGCAATCTGGGTCCTCATTTTACCAACCTGAGAAAGATTAAAGGCTGAATCAACCATGAGCCAGTTGGGACTGAACTTCTGGCTCCTGGGCAATCAGCTTGCTGTACTACATTCTAACTTCTGACCCACCATGTCTATAGATTATTATGTGTATGCATATTGTGCCTTTCTGCTCCAAATGAGACAAGGTTGAATCCAACAAAGTGAAATTTAATGTGGAGAAAAGTTAAGCTTTTACACCTGGGCGGGAAAAACAGATTACATGAAACATGGCTCAAAAACTAACTGAGGGATCTTGGCAGTCCGAATGGACGATCATTTAAAAATGAGTCACCTATTATTATTTTTGTTTTCATCTCCCATTCACTTATTTATTAATAGGAGAAAAAAGAGGACCGGAAAAGCATAGAAAAGGGCAAACAGGCTAAAAGAAGAAATTACAGGGCCAAGAGATTAAGAAATGATGGTTAAAGATAAAGGGGGGGCGGTTCCACATGGAAATGCATTTTAGTTTTTTAAAAATATAGATTGGGGAGTTTTGACGTTTAAAGTTTATTGGGATGTACTTTTTTAAAAAAAGAAACAAGCTTAATTGGAATTAAAGGGGAATAAGAACTCACCGTCAGAATATTATATAATTATATGATGAGAAAAATGAAAGTAAAAAATTAAGATGATTGTTATTAAATCTTTTTTTTTACATAAATAAGAAATAGAAAATATAATTGATTATACAAATAGTATCAGAAAAACAAGGAATGTGGTAAATTATAAATTATTATATTGAAAAGTATTTGCAATGAGATTGTTATGATTAAAAAGGTGTTGAATGAAAATTAAAGATAATTCCATAGGTAAAATTTGGTTAAATGGAAACAAAGAGGAAATACGAAATGATTATATTAATATCCTTGGAATAAATGTAAGATTCATTGTAGATTGGGAGGAAATACCATGTGGACCCTGAATGGGGGGAAAAAGAGAAACGCATCTAAAATAGTAAATAGGGAATTATTGTTAATTGGAAGCTAATAATTAAGAATGATTATATTGATATTAGTTTTATTTTATTTTTGTTTGTTGCACATCGGCTTTGAGAAAGTAAAAGAAGAAAATATGTAAAATAAAATAGGTGGTAAGATGGAAATGACAATAACGGAATAAATAGTGGAAAATATGTTTTAGGTTGAAAATGTTTTTGTTAATGGATTAATGAATGAAAAATATGAAGTGCAAATTTATTTTTAAAAAATGGAATAATGATTTGATACGAAACTAGATAAGAAAGCTGGAAATGTAACTGTGACTGTGTATGTATGCTGTAAACTGGAACCACATTGCTCACTTGAAGAGATGTATAAAAAATAAAAATAAAAAATCTTTTAAAAAAACCAAAACAAAAAAAACGCATTACCTGTCTGCGGCAGCAGCCAAAACAGCTAAGACAATCCTTTGTTCTATAAACAGAGGCATAGAATCAAAATCACATGAAGTATTACGTAGTACCATTTTATAATGACTTAGTAAGACCACACTTGGAATACTGCATCTTGTTTTGGTCATTACACTATAAAGAATATGTTTAAACTTTGG